GTTGTGTATCAACTTGTATACGAGTCAAATCAACCTTCAGAACAGTCTCTCCCACTGCCATACGCATCATACAGTGGTAAACTGTTGGTCATTTAAATGATACTTGTACAGGTATCGCTAACCCCGTAACTTTTAATGGACAAAAAAGGTAATTGCTTATAATTTCTCAAAGGCAAGACGAATATAATTAGTTCCTCTTTAACATGACTCACACAGGTCATCTTTCATATAAATCTCAACAAGAGAAAATAATCACAATCTCGTAAAATTAACGCATATTAAAAATATTAGAAACGAAAAAAGGCCTTAGGCTGTGTTTCACCCTTCAAGGTGCTCACGCTGTACTAAATCCTAGTTTGTTTTCTCAGGTACTACTGCTCTCACGTGTTAGGTAGTGAGTCCCAATCTTCCTTATTCCTATTTAAAATTCGCCCTACACTTGAGAACATACGAACATAAGAATGGAGGAAACTGCAGCGGGCCTATTGGCCCATACTGGGCAATCCCATTTATACCCAGCCCCTATTGCTCATATAAGCATCCAACCTATGTTTGAAGCTATCCAGCGTATCCAAGTTAATGATGATATATGTTAACTTTTTCCACTCATCCACTACTCTATTTCCAAACCGATGTTTACCTATTTCGCGCCTAAATCTAAATTTGTCTAATTTAAAACCATTGTTACGAGTTCGCTACTGATTGGATATTTTGAGTACCTTTGTAATGTCCCCTTTGTTTAGCCCTGACTTCCATTTATACACCTCTATCATTTCGCCCCTTGCTCTACGTCTCTCGAGGAAGTGCAAATTAAGATACTTTAACCTGTCTCTGTACTCAAGGTTCCTAATGCCCGGGATTAGTCTTGTCATTCTCCTCTGAATTCTTTCCAAGGATTCTATATCCATTCTGTAATACGGTGACCAGAATTGAACTGTGTAAGCCAAGTGAGGTCTCACAAGCCCAAGATATAGTTTTAGGATGACCTCTCTAGTCTTGTAACTAACACTCCTTTGTATGAACCCAAGTACTTTATTAGCATTGTTTCGAGAAAATACACATTGTTTACTTGGATTAAGATTTCTACTTATTATTACTCCTAAATCTCTCTCGCAGTCGGATTTCTCAATAACATCGTTGTTCATCTGGAATCTGGTTTCCCTGTTTACATCTCCTATACAAAATACTTTACATTTGTCCACATTGAATTTCATCTGCCATTTTTCAGACCATTCGAAAAATTTGTTTAGATCTTCCTGTAGTTTTGCTGAGTCCTCGTCAGATTTAATAACACGTCCTATTTTAGTGTCATCAGCAAATTTACTTATGTTGCTGTCTATGCCGATATCTATGTCGTTTATGTATATAATAAATAATAATGGTCCAAGTATTGAGCCTTGGGAAACTCCACTAGTGACGTTGGTCCAATCGGATTTAGTGCCGTTAATGCTCACTCGCTGTTTCCTGTCCTTTAACCACGGTCTAATCCATTTTAGAATATCACCTTTAATGCCATGAGCCTCTACTTTTCTTATTAATCTTTCGTGGGGAACTCTGTCGAAGGCTTTGCTAAAGTCGAGATATACCACATCATAATTGTGCCCCTCGTCCACTGATTCGTTAACTGATGAAAAGAATGTTAATAGATTAGTTAGACATGAACGCCCGCTTGTGAAGCCATGCTGGGAATCATTGATCAACTTGTGCTTCTCCACGTTATTTCGAATAGAGTTTGAAATGATTGCTTCCAGTAATTTGCCTACAATTGATGTTAGACTGATTGGACGATAGTTAGAGGATAGTGATCTATCTCCCTTCTTGAAAATCTGTATTACATTCCCTATCCTCCAGGATTCTGGTACTACACCTGTTTTTAAGGACATGTTAAACAATTTTGCTAAGGGCGTACTAAGCTCTTCCTTACATTCCTTTAATACTCTGGCAAATATCTCATCAGGACCAGGTGACGTATTAGGCTTTAGTTTGTCTATTTGCTTACTAACATCGTTACTAGTCACTACTATCTCGTTTAATTTGTTTTCTCCACTATCTCTGTATAGAATCGGTACTTCGGGTATCATGTTAAAATTTTCTGTGGTGAAAACTGTTGAAAAATATTTATTCAGATTATTGCTCATTTCTCCATCGTTATCAGTTAGCTAGCTGGTATCTGACTATATTGGTCCAATCTTTTCTCGTGTTTTAGTTTGATACATTTGATAGAATCCCTTGAGGCTTGACTTCGCCTCCCTTGCTATCCTCAGCTCATTATTCCTCTTTGCTTTTCTTATCTCGGTCTTAACCCTACCGGCCAATACCTTATAATAATTTCGGAGGTAAACTTCGCCACGATTTATCCTCCTACCTATAGCCTTCCTTTGACCAATAATGTTCTTTAAGTAATTATTTATCCATTTAAGGTCATTGTTGTTTGATCTGAGTTCTTTGGATGGTATGTTTTGCCTTTGTGCAATAAGTAACTCATTATTTAAATTGTCGTGGAACTCGGCAACCTCAGATCTCGTTATCAGGTCAGTCTCAACCATCAGGTCTCCGGGTAGGGTGAGTTCTCCCTCTGTGGGTACATTGTAGGTCATATCATGTGAGGTCATGTAGTTCACCCCCAAATGTGATACCCCTTCTCTCAACTGCCTCTTCAAACTATCAAAGTTTGCCCTTCTGAAATCTGGGACTTTCATGGAATTTTCCTTACAGCTGCCCTGAAAATCTTACTGGAATCTAATTTTTTTGTGATCGCTGTTTGCAAGTTCGTTCCCTACCTCGACATTACTAATGAGGTTTTCTCTGTTCAACAGAACTAAATCAAGTATATTATTACCCCGGGTGGGTTCAGTTATATTGTTGACTTAGGAAACAGTCCTGGATCCTTTCAAGAAAATCCTCTGATTCTGATTACTTGTAAGGTCAATCCAATCTATTTGGCTAAAGTTAAAGTCGCCTACTATACAGACTTTGCTGTGTATGGAAGCCCTGCGCATTTCATCCCAAATAAGTCGCTCATTAACTCTATCAAGATTGGGAGGTCTATATATTACTCCTGTGATTAATTTTTCCCTACTATCGATTAATTCTATCCAAATTGTTTCTGTATTCCGCTTAGTTTTTATTTCCTTATTTATTTCAAACTTCAGATTATCCCTGACAGAGATTGCTACTCTGCCTCCTTTCCTAATCTGCCTATCTGTATGGAATAATTTGTAACCTGCAGTTTGGTATTCGACAGGTAACTCACGTGAGTCTAGGTTTATCCATGTTTCAGTGAATGCTAGTATATCGATTTTTTCGGTACATACCAAGGCCGTAATATCATCCATTTTGTTTCGCATACTTCTACTGTTTGCATAGTAGACTTTTAAGTTAGTCGTGTTCTGAGTCCTCTCTTTGTCGCGTTTAGGTTTTAACTCCCTGTCTAATTTAGTTTTGTCATCATTCCTAACACCCTTTCCCTGTAACCTTTCACTTTGTTTACCCGCTCCCACTGCAGTCTCTTCCACTCCCGTGCTCATATGTTCCCCTAGCAGTTTAAGGACTTTGATATCTTTTGAACTGCCCTCTCGAGAGATCCAGCCAGGGTTGCCACCCCATCCCTAGACAGGTGCACCCCATCCCTAGCATAAAAGTCCCTTCTGTCGTAGAAGTTGTCCCAGTTGTCAATGAATGGGACTGATATTGACTGCAATATCTGTCAAGACGGCCGTTGACACCAACTGCCCTTGACAACCATTCATTGCCAACTCTCCTTCTAGGCAGGACACCACATTTGATAGGGATCCCTCCCTTAGTCCTAATACGATCTATGGCTGCCTTGAACTTCTCAAGAAGCTCCTCACTCCTACACCTGCCAATATCATTGCCTCCTACACTGAGGCAGATAATGGGTTGTTCCCATTACCAGATAAGATATTGTCCATCCTGTCAACTATATCCCCCATCCCAGCGCCTGGCAAACACACCCTCATCCTATTTTTATTTTTACCACAAAAAACTCTGTCCAAGTACTGTACCTGCGAGTCGCCAACAATTAAAGTTTTCCTACCTTTTTGTCAGTCCTGTCCCTGACTATACTAACGTCCAATTCATCTATCTAAGGACTGAAAGAATTGGTACACTTAGCTGTTGTTGACGTATCCTTGGTGGGTTTTTTACTACCCGGGTGCATTTTTTCACCACCAGCTTGGTCGTCCCTCTCCTCACAACCTTCCATTCGCCTGATTTTTCGTCAGACACCGGTTTTCTTGTCTCGTTTCTTCCTTCATCCTCGCCATCTCTTCTTTTAATTTCAAGATTTCTTCCTTGGCCCTCTCTAACTCGGCCCACAAAAGGGCACAACCCTGTTTACAAGTAGCACTAGCCATTACTTTTTATCCCCTTCTCGCCATTCACAGCATTCAGTAAATTCTTTTCCTTATTATCACATCAAATTTTTCGTGAGATGTCGGTTGAAATTCAAACCATCATCCTAAATCTGTTTTAGGGCCAATTGCAAGAACTGCCGTGGTGTACAACACGCTGTGGTAGAAATAGTATCCAATTGCCACTACCGCTGGTCAACAATGTTCTGTTGAAACAATACACATATGAATATATTCCATTATTTAATTTTAGCCTTTGCCCTTCTTACCCGAACAACTCCCTTCCTCTGATCTTTTTCCTTGTACATTACTTGCACTTCGTATTGTTTATGAATTATAAGTCTTCCTTCCTACTAAGCAAGCTTGCAGCTTTGTTTGATTATCGTGCTTAATGGTGACTGCATCATCATGTGTGTCGCTGCTGTCTTGTACTTCTGGCATTGTGTATTACTGGAAAAGTATGGTCAATATTATGAGGTCCATATAGTTCAGAAAGACAAGTGTTTGTAGTTTATGTTCCCCTGCACATGTATTAATGATTTTATGATATAGATACAAGTTGTACATGGCTTACTGCTACAAATACAGAGATTACTCTTACGTAATGTACTTGTTTCACTTTTACAGATACAGAGTGACAAGGACCGGCAGCTCATCAGGAACTGTGTCCAGCCACTGCTTCTACTCCGGAAGTTCATCCTTCACTACCTATGACCGCGACTACGACTCCTATAGCGGTATGTTAGCAACTTTTGTTACTTTAATATCTTCCATATAATATTGTACCGAGAAAGACGCTTCACAAGATACTAAAGGTAGACTTGTGTGATCACTCGATGCAGAGTAGAGACTGTTTAAACTGTAAGATGGAGGTTATATTGGTTTAGATCTTATATCGTAAATCTGGGAATAATATTTAAGTTGCGTTCTCAAGTTGATTCAAATTAACTTAAGCATACAATTACAATCAGCGAGGAAATGATAACTGAATAAACTAGGAGATGTAAATGTAGAACAGAAAATTTGATTTACACAAAAGCATCTCAATAAATTCAGTTCATTCAAGACATGGTAGACTACATGGTCGAGCAAGAGCATAACGACCAACGAGTGCCTGCATCTTACACCCAGAGTTCAATGGTTGATACCAATTATATTGTTTTGAAAATCTGAAGAATTTTTTCTGGATCAACATAATCATGTGTTGTAAAATTACTGAGATTTTGTGTATGATGGCGCGGTGACGATAATTTTACGTACGTTTATGATCTTTAATACTAAAGTGATCATTCGTACGTTTCTACGGAAGACAGACAGATGAATGATTTACACAGTGATGAGAAATAAGAAAATAGATTCTTACTTTATCATAATATATTCACACATAAATATCCAAGTTATAAACAGTTTTCCCAGACGTCCTGTACCGTCCACGCGGAGATGGTTGAAGCTTTCTAAGTCATATTCACCAAACGAATAAAGAGCCGAGGACTGTGTTTTTTTTATTAATGAGATTTTTGAGTTACCAGTGATTATCCAGCCCCTCATCAAGTATAGGTCCAGTTAAGTAGTGTGTAGTCAGACTGATGTATTAATCTCATGGACAGGTAACTGTGCGTCTGTAAAGGGTGGAGGTTGGTGGTACTATAACTGCCGCTACAACAATCCCACCTCGCCCTACAACCAGGGCCTCAACTACACCTGCTACTACAACAGTGTGGTGAGGGTCTCCAAGCTACAGCTCAAGATACGACCAGCAATCTGCGACTCTCCCATCAAGACCATCAATGCCAACTCCTATAACTGTGGTGGATGTGAATAGAGCAAACAGGGTACGACCTGACCTGACCTGACCTGAGGACTCGGATATATGTCTAAGACCAAGACCCACAGCCTGACACAACAACAACTGTCAACACGCCATCCTAGACTGGTGGCACGGATGGTGTGATACACTTACTTGTGTCTTGTTCTTTACTACCATAGATGTAGTACATAACTTATGGCAACATGATCCTATATAATTGTTATGGTATAAAGCACTCAGGAGTTTTATATGTAATGGAAGAAACATTAAACTAAACGAAGAAATTATACACTGAGTACGTCATTAAATATGACTGGAGAACACTTCAGGAACGAGAATAGAACATCGCACTATTGTACGACTACTGGAGTGTAATGGTGATTTGTCATAATATCTAACAAATATATATATATATATATATATAAATATATGTATATATTCTGAGTGTCGGATAAAGACTTGTGGTATAGTGTTTGTAAATGATGAGAACATAAACATGTTGATACCCACCATCTGTGCTGTCCCACACCCATCAACCACACTGTACAACCTATCTTGTCACAACTTTAAACACCAATGTTATAACAACCACAGTTCAGGTTACATGGGACACATGTGTAATTTCTTGTAAGCCTGATGTTATAGCAACACCAACCGTGCTATACAAATGTCTTCCAGCAACACCACCAGTACTATATAAATGTCTTACAGCAACACCACCAGTACTATATAAATGTCTTACAGCAACACCACCAGTACTATATAAATGTCTTACAGCAATACCACCAGTACTATAAATCTCCAGTACATATTTTAGCACAATAAATCAACTTTACCTCAGTCACTGGTAAACAAAGCGCGTGTTAAATAATTATACTGAATATAATTTTCTCCAACTTCCTTGTTTATTTAATTGAACCTTTGTTGTGTAGGCCACAGTCTGTTTAGCGCCAGTGAGCTCCATTATATATAGTGCCAGTGAGCTCCATTATATATAGTGCCAGTGAGCTCCATTATATATAGTGCCAGTGAGCTCCATTATATATAGTGCCAGTGACCTCCATTATATATAGTGCCAGTGAGCTCCATTATATATAGTGCCAGTGAGCTCCATTGTATATAGTGCCAGTGAGCTCTATCATACAGTGCCAGTGAGCTCCATTATATATAGTGCCAGTGAGCTCTACCATACAGTGCCAGTGAGCTCCATTATATATAGTGCCAGTGAGCTCCAATTTATATAGTGCAAGTGAGCTCTATCATACAGTGCCAGTGAGTACCATTAAACATAGTGCCAGTCAGCTCCACCATAAACAGTGCCAGTCAGCGCCATTATATATAGTGCCAGTGAGCTCTATCATACAGTGCCAGTGAGCTAGATTATATATAGCGCCAGTGAGTTCTAGTATACAGTGCCAGTGAGCTCCATTATATATAGCGCCAGTGAGCTCCATCATACAGGGCCAGTGAGCTCCATTATATATAGCGCCAGTGAGCTCCATCATACAGGGCCAGTGAGCTCCATTATATATAGCGCCAGTGAGCTCTATCATACAATGCCAGTGAACTCTATCATACAGTGCCAGTCAGCTCCATTATATAATGAGCCAGTGATCTCTATCATACAGTGCCAGTGAGTACCATTAAACATAGTGCCATCCAGCTCCATTATACATTGTGCCAGTGAGCTCCGTGATACACAGTGATACATAGTGCCAATGAGTTGCATCATAAAGTGCCAGTGAATTATATTATATAGTGTCAGTGAGCTCCATCGTACAATGTCAGTGAGCTTCATCATAGAGTGCCAGTGAGCTGTTATATAGTGCCAGTGAGCTGTTATATAGAGCCAGTAAGCTGTTATATAGTCCCGGTGAGCTGTTATATAGTGCCAGTGAGCTGTTATATAGTGCCAGTGAGCTGATATATAGTGCCAGTGAGCCCTGTCATACAGTATCAGTGAGCTCCATCGTACAATATCAGTGAGCTTCAGCATACAGTGCCATTGAGCTTCATCATACTGTATCAGTGAGCTCCATCGTACAGTGCCAGTGAGCTCCTTCATACAGTGCCAGTGAGCTTCATCATACAGTGGCAGTGAGCTCCATCATACAGTGCCAGTGAGCTTCATCATACAGTGCCAGTGAGCTCCATCATACAATGCCAGTGAGCTCCATACAGTGCCAGTGAGCTTCATCATACAGTATCAGTGAGCTTCATCATACAGTGCCAGTGAGCTCCATCATACAGTGTCAGTGAGTTTCATCATACAGTATCAGTGAGCTTCATCATGCAGTGCCAGTGAGCTTCATCATACAGTATCATTGACCTTCATTATACAGTGCCAATGAGCTCCATCTTACAATGCCAGTGAGCTTCATCATACAGTGCCAGTGAGCTTCATCATGCAGTATCAGTGAGCTTCATCATACAGTGCCAGTGAGTTTCATCATACAGTGCCAGTGAGTTTCATACAGTGCCAGTGAGCTTCATCATACTGTAGTGATGGGTTGTCAGACCACAGCTTACATCTCAGAAACAGTCCAGTCCTGACCTTATATTAGCGGGGTCAAGTCAAGGGGTTACAAATCACCCGGCACCCAGTCAGCAGAAGAAGCCACCTGTCTTCAATATATACAACAACTTTAGTCTCAGAAAAAGTCCAGACCTGACCCTACATTATCGAGGTCAAATGTAAGGAAACCCTTCGCCGCCCCCCCCCCCCCGCCCCCCGATCAGCTCAACCTGACGGCTCGTCTCCCAATATATAGGACGTCGTAGCCCTCCCTCACGGGAGTCAGAGAGACAGAGTCGGGGAGAGACAGGCACACAGAGGGATCAGAGGAGGAGGTCCACCACAGCCCAGTCCCGCTCACGGGAGGAGAGTCACGCAAGACTTCCCTCCTGACTCGACTTCCCTCCGACTTCCCTCCGGCGCCAGCTAAGCAGTCTCCCATAGAGACAACCCAAGACCACCTGCTAGGCCTCCCCCAGGTCACGTGAGTTTTTGACAGAGCTTTCCATGGGATGAGTTACTTACGTGGGAAGTGTATTCATTTCATGTTCGTGTCCGAGAATCAGTGTCTAGTAACGTAATATGATGTCCTAGTAACGTAAATATAATGTCCTAGTAACTTCGATAGAAGGTGTTATTAATGTGTCCATGTCATTGCCGTAATTGATAAACAGTTGTAACGAAGCGGTGTTTGAGAAGTCGTCCTTAAGAACGTAATAGATGTGTATTGACATATAAGATAAGATAAGTGTATTGACAGTGTAAATAACTAACACGGCCACGCTACCAAATTCTTCCCCTCTTTTACTCTCTTACTAAAAATATTCTCTATACTTCCTACTGTTAAAACCCTTCATTACAATACAGTATCAGTGAGCTCCATCATGCAGCGCCAGTGAGCTTCATCATACAGTGCCAGTGAGCTCCATCATACAGTGCCAGTGAGTTTCATCATACAGTTCCAGTGAGCTTCATCATACAGTGCCAGTGAGCTTCATCATAGTGCCAGTGAGCTCCATCATACAGTGCCAGTGAGCTTCATCATACAGTTCCAGTAAGCTCCATTATACAGTGCCAGTGAGCTTCATCATAGTGCCAGTGAGCTTCATACAGTGCCAGTGAGCTCCATCATACAATATCAGTGAGATTCATCATACAGTGCCAGTGAGCTTCATCATACAGTATCAGTGAACTTCATCATACAGTGCCAGTGAGCTTCATCATACAGTATCAGTGAGCTTCATTATACAGTGCCACTGAGCTCCATCATACAGTGCCAGTGAGCTTCATCATACAGTGCCAGTGAGCTTCATCATACAGTGCCAGTGAGCTTCATCATACAGTGCCAGTGAGCTCCATCATACAGTGCCAGTGAGCTCCATCATACAGTGCCAGTGAGCTTCATCACAGTGTCAGTGAGCTCCATCATCATGTTGTGCACAAAGTGAGCTCCATCATACAGTGCCAGTGAGCTCCATCATACAGTGCCAGTGAGCTCCATCAAGGGCCAGCATCAGTGAGCTCCATCATGCAGCGCCAGTGAGCTTCATCATACAGTATCAGCGAGCTCCATCATACAGTGCCAGTGGAGCTCCATCATACAGTGCCATTGAGCTTCATCATACAGTATCAGTGGAGCTCCATCATACAGTATCAGTGAGCTCCATCATGCAGCGCCAGTGAGCTTCATCATACGCATCAGTGAGCTCCATCATACAGTGCCAGTGAGCTCCATCATACAGTGCCAGTGGAGTCCATCATACAGTGCGCCAGTGAGCTCCATCATACAGTGCCAGTGAGCTCCATCATACAGTGCCAGTGAGCTTCATCATACAGTGCCAGTGAGTTTCCCATCATACAGTGCCAGTGAGCTTCATCATACAGTATCAGTGAGCTCCACTCATATACAGTGCCAGTGAGCTCCATCATACAGTGCCAGTGAGCCTCCATCATACAGTGCCAAAGCATCATACAGTGCCAGTGAGCTCCATCATACAATGCCAGTGAGCTCCATACAGTGCCAGTGAGCTTCATCATACAGTATCAGTGAGCTTCATCATACAGTGCCAGTGAGCTCCATCATACAGTGTCAGTGAGTTTCATCATACAGTATCAGTGAGCTTCATCATGCAGTGCCAGTGAGCTTCATCATACAGTATCATTGACCTTCATTATACAGTGCCAATGAGCTCCATCTTACAATGCCAGTGAGCTTCATCATACAGTGCCAGTGAGCTTCATCATGCAGTATCAGTGAGCTTCATCATACAGTGCCAGTGAGTTTCATCATACAGTGCCAGTGAGTTTCATACAGTGCCAGTGAGCTTCATCATACTGTAGTGATGGGTTGTCAGACCACAGCTTACATCTCAGAAACAGTCCAGTCCTGACCTTATATTAGCGGGGTCAAGTCAAGGGGTTACAAATCACCCGGCACCCAGTCAGCAGAAGAAGCCACCTGTCTTCAATATATACAACAACTTTAGTCTCAGAAAAAGTCCAGACCTGACCCTACATTATCGAGGTCAAATGTAAGGAAACCCTTCGCCGCCCCCCCCCCCGCCCCCCGATCAGCTCAACCTGACGGCTCGTCTCCCAATATATAGGACGTCGTAGCCCTCCCTCACGGGAGTCAGAGAGACAGAGTCGGGGAGAGACAGGCACACAGAGGGATCAGAGGAGGAGGTCCACCACAGCCCAGTCCCGCTCACGGGAGGAGAGTCACGCAAGACTTCCCTCCTGACTCGACTTCCCTCCGACTTCCCTCCGGCGCCAGCTAAGCAGTCTCCCATAGAGACAACCCAAGACCACCTGCTAGGCCTCCCCCAGGTCACGTGAGTTTTTGTCAGAGCTTTCCATGGGATGAGTTACTTACGTGGGAAGTGTATTCATTTCATGTTCGTGTCCGAGAATCAGTGTCTAGTAACGTAATATGATGTCCTAGTAACGTAAATATAATGTCCTAGTAACTTCGATAGAAGGTGTTATTAATGTGTCCATGTCATTGCCGTAATTGATAAACAGTTGTAACGAAGCGGTGTTTGAGAAGTCGTCCTTAAGAACGTAATAGATGTGTATTGACATATAAGATAAGATAAGTGTATTGACAGTGTAAATAACTAACACGGCCACGCTACCAAATTCTTCCCCTCTTTTACTCTCTTACTAAAAATATTCTCTATACTTCCTACTGTTAAAACCCTTCATTACAATACAGTATCAGTGAGCTCCATCATGCAGCGCCAGTGAGCTTCATCATACAGTGCCAGTGAGCTCCATCATACAGTGCCAGTGAGTTTCATCATACAGTTCCAGTGAGCTTCATCATACAGTGCCAGTGAGCTTCATCATAGTGCCAGTGAGCTCCATCATACAGTGCCAGTGA